CTGTACTCATCTAGACCTAGTCCACACACAAGCCATTTCTTGGCCTTGGCATTTTCTCCCACTTCTTCAGGTCTTCAGCAGTGCAATCAGCTCTTGTCTTTGGCACATCAACTCCTTCAGCATTCTTCTTTGTGGTTGCTAGGGGACCATCAGTGACTATGTCCCGGAGTTCATAGTCTTCCCCTATGATGTGATCCCTCATCATGTTCTTCCACCAAGAATAGTACTGACCATTGAAGAGTGGAGGCCTAGCAGTGGATCGCCCTTCCCAGTTCCCAGGTGGTGCACTCATGTTGATCTTTTCCTAAGGTGTTAGCCTCTTCAAGGATAACCTGCTCTGATACCAATTGATGTTTTATACGTCAATACCACACAAGAGGGGGGGGGGGGTGATTTGTGTGGTACCCAATTTTGCGCTCTAGAAGAACCTGGTTCTTCTAGGTATACTAACTCTACTGTTTGCGGAATAATAAGTACATAAAATAAAGAACACAGAGATTTTTACGTGGAAAACACATGGCTCAAGAGGTGAAAAAACCACGACCTACTACTCAGTAGGATTTTCCCAAACTTCCACTAAAATCACTGAGCCAAAACAGCATTTACAAAACTCTTTGTAAACCTAAGGATTAACTCTAATCCCATTGTAGCACACAGCCTCAACTGTTGCGACAACTTCAAGTTAGCATATAACTTGAACACTCTAACTACCTAATACAAATGCTTCTATGAAAGATGAAAGGTACAAGTTTAAATCACCTACTACAATTGAACTAGAAATAAAGAAAGACACAATGGAATTGGTTCTTCTCTCTCGTTCAAGTAGCTTCAGGAATGCACACTCAAATCTCACATAAATTGCTTGCAAAATTGCCTCGCTCTTTTGCTCTCAATTTAGTGTTACTTCTGCGTTTGTGCAATACCTGTAAAAGAGAACAATCACTGTTATTTAATGAGTTAGTAATTAGAGTTTGATTAAGACTCAATTGCTGATCTTCCATCGAGGTTGAGTCCTTAACCAACACAAACTCCAACACTATCTTTTATCTGGTTTGTGTTCTCTTCACATAAGGAGACTTTCTCCCCTTATCCAATATGCAACCTTTTCGATCAGATTCAGGAGATATTACTGCTTGATCAATGAGACTATCTCCTTCACGTGCATCTCAAATGCGTAGATTGATCATTACTGTGCTTCACATGATGGACCTGGTCCATGATTGAGTTCATTTGTCATTCTTCAAACTTCACCTGTTCTTGAGCCAACAGATTACATAACTGATGCACACAGTTGCCTTATATCCATGTTTTTGAAAACTGTTGAAAGATATTCTTATCTGGTTTTACTTGAACTTGACTTAAACAAACTGATTTGACTTGAATTACCGGAATTTGAGAAGCATGACTATTTTTTCTTTCTGAAATTATTGAAAATGAACTAAAACTTTGTAGCTCGTCACTATCTTCATTTTCTTAATTATTATTGTTACTTACTGAGTTGGTGTACTCACGTTACTCTTTGTGCCTCGTGTGCAGATCCAGGAGTTGTCGGTCGCGGAGGGTGTTGATAGTCCTCGCAGCTTATTATTGGAGATAACGAGGTAGATGCCCGTCGTTCGTAGCCTTGCTTTCTTCTTCTCTATCTTTCCTTTGGTTGTATTTGTATTTCAGACTTTGTTAGTCCTGTTATGTTCGAATTAGTTATGTTTAGACGCTCATGACTTAGTGACACCCCGATGTCGGGCTATCTTTTCAGCATTTTATTCTGAGTTTAACTCTTTATGAGATTTCTGTTATGAAAAATGACTATCAATATCTTTTAATGAAATACTTAATTATTTTGTGAAAGTCGGCTGGCCTAGTACCATCGATAGGCGCCATCACGACAGGGTAGAGTTTTGGGTCGTGGACACCCCGTGCCCAGGTATACCTTTCGATCGGGCAAGTGTTCCCTCAATATGACTTGTTCTAGCTCCAGGACCGTCAATTTAGTGGAATAGGAATCATCGGTGGCTATAAAAGATCTGGGAACCCCGTAATCAACATCCTCGCCTTTCCCTTATTTGTTCGAATCTTCCGAGGATGGTATCACTAATTGCTATTTGGCCGCGTTTTTGACCATGTGGTTCGGATCCCTCGATATTGAGATTGTAGATGCCAGTATCACCTCCTCGACCGCGAATATTTCCTTGGCGGTCGGTTATTCACCGTAGACTATTTTGACTCCGCTAGGTGTTGGAAATTTCAGTACCTGACGCAGTGTCGAGGGCACCGCCCTCATGTTGTAGATCCATGGATTTTCGAATAAAGCGTTGTACCTCATGTCTCCTTCGATCACATATATTTAGTTTTCTGGATGGTCCCGGCGGTGTTTACTGGTATCGTTATCTCGCTCTTAGTGGTTTCACATGCCATGTTGAATCTGTTTAGAACTCGGACTGCAGGCACAATTTGGTCTTGTAGAGCGAGCTGCTCCACGACCCTCAATGGAATGATGTTGGCCGAGTTACCCGGATCAATTAACACATGTTTAACTCAAATTTTATTTACGAGTACTGATATTACCAGTGCCTCATTGTGGGTCAGTACAATCCCTTCCGCATACTCGTCGTTGAAAGATAAAGTTCCTTCCTGTATGTAGTCTCGAGTTCATTTCTCCCTAGTGATGGATACTTTGGTGCGTTTCAACATCGGCCCCTATGGGATATCGACCCCACCGATGATCATGTTAATGATGTGTTGAGGTTCTTCTTGTTCAGTCTTTTTGTTAGAATCCATGTTCCTGAAACGATTCTTGGCTAAGTCGCTGAAGAATTCTCGAAGATGTCCCTTTTTGAATAGTCGGGCTAGTTCCTCTCTCAGCTGTTGACAATCTTTCGTTCTGTGACCGTGAGTGCCATGATATTTGCACATTTGGTTAGCATCCGTTTGGGTTGGATCGGATTCTAGAGGTTGAGGCCATTTGGTATCTTCCCGATAACTTGATAAGGTCCTTGATCAAATTTTGAAACTTGACATCATGATTGAGATCATGATAATGAGAGTAAAGTCTCTTAAAATTTAATCTAAATTTTATTCTTGATTGTAGGATTATTAATTTGGACATTAGTAATACCGTTAGATCACAATTATGTGATCGTCTTTATGGGATAAAGATTAGTTGATCTCATTAACAAAATCACATAAATAAATGGTGCATATAGAGATATGATCATTTAACCGATTCATTGGATAATTTCTAATTGTTAGAATCATCATAAACTGTCAATAGGATATTCTCTTGAAGAATGTGATGTAAGAGTTTCCTTTGACCTGATAAGATCATAGTAATTGACAAGTTATTTATTGTGGTTTGATACTAGACAACTATGGCCCTAGGGCGATAGTTGAAAGGATATTGGATACGATTAAATACTTATAGAATTAGTGATTGATCAGGATGGAATCTATCAACTCTTGGTAATGAGTTTAAGCTCCATGTTGTTAAAAATTATAACTGACCAAATTAAGACTTTGGCCAAGAAAATTGAATGAAAGAAGAAAAGAGTTTCTTAGGTCAGTCAATGGTCAATTATATTTGACATGAACACATAGTTGATCGCCTATTAGGATTTGACAGTTGAACCAAATCCTAGGGTGACCCAGAGCTATAAGGACAGAAGGAATTAATACATTATTCTTCTATGGGTTTGTGAGAATAAATTATATAATTCATGCTATTCGGTCTTTAAGGAGTGTTGCTAATGCCACCCTTGATTAGTATATTGATGTATTGAATTTACTACTGGCTTAGTATTGAACCTATGGGGTTGCACACTAACGAGTGTTCTGGTCTTTGATAAAGGATTAATTTGATAATTAAATTAAAGAATTTAATAAGTCAAATATATTTAGTTATTCATCCAAATGAAATATTATTATATTCTTTGCTAGCACAGAGGATATAATCAGTATTGTGGACAAGTTGAAGATTTCTATTTGAAATAGAATTTTAAATTGTATATCTTGGTTAAAATATTGATGTGATATATATAATTAATAGTTATTTATATAAGGGATATATATAAATATTATGAAAGACCTGATTGTGAAATTCAATTAGGAATTGAATTCCTAAAGAGTTCGACCAATTTAATATATTTAGTTATTCATCCAAATGAAATATTATTATATTCTTTGCTAGCACAGAGGATATAATCAGTATTGTGGACAAGTTGAAGATTTCTATTTGAAATAGAATTTTAAATTGTATATCTTGGTTAAAATATTGATGTGATATATATAATTAATAGTTATTTATATAAGGGATATATATAAATATTATGAAAGACCTGATTGTGAAATTCAATTAGGAATTGAATTCCTAAAGAGTTCGACCAATTTAACTCATTGGGATGGGATTTGAATTTTATAATAGAAAAATATTTCTAAAGCTAGAATCCAAGTTTGAATTGAATTAGGTATGTGAAAGCTCATAAAGGAGAATTCCAATTGGAATTGGATTCCATAAAGAGTTCGGCAAATTCAAATCACTGGGATGGGATTTGAATTTTATAATAGGAAAATATTTCTAAAGCTAGAATCCAAGTTTGAATTGGATTAGGTATGTGAAAGCTCATAAAGGAGAATTCTATTTGGAATTGGATTCCATAAAGAGTTCGGCAAATTCGAATCATTGAGATGGGATTTGAATTTTATAATAGAAAAATATTTCTAAAGCTAGAATCCAAGTTTGAATTGGATTAGGTATGTGAAAGCTCATAAAGGAGAATTCCAATTGGAATTTGATTCCAAAAAGAGTTCAGTAAATTCAACTTATTGGGATGAGATTTGAATTTTATAATTAAAAAATATGTCTAAAGCTAGAATCCAAGTTTGAATTGGATTAGGTATATGAAAGTTCATAAAGGAGAATTCCAATTGGAATTGGATTCCATAAAGAGTCGGCTATGAAATTTCCAGCGTGTGATTTGCACTTCCCAATGGAAATTATGTGTATATATATACGTGAGTCCTAATTTAAAATAAGAGATATAGATCTTATACATATTGTGAAGTCACGCATAAACCAAGAGAGTTATTCTTGAGAAGAAAATTACTTTGAGAAAGTAATAGTGCAATACAAAACTAAGATAGAAAATACTAGTAAAAGAAAATTGTTTCTTATTTTTCTACCTTTGAGTTGAGAGTTTTGAGAAAAATTTCAATACAATATTTTCATTCAATTTGTTCGCAGGGTTTCATTGACCAAAGAGTTGATAGCAAGGATCAGTCTCGGTGGATACGCATCGAGTCTTCGCACTATCGAAGAAATTCTAAAACAAGACTCTCTTCATCAGGTACGTCTTAGATCCAATCTTTGCCATGTAAATAAATTTTAAATACGAAAAGTTATCCCGAGGATTGTTATTGTCTTCCGCTGCGTGTTATGAACACCTCTCTCAATCCAACAGTGGTATCAGAACCATGGTTTCTCATGTCAAAAATTTATTTACGAATTATTTTAAGATTTTATTTGAAGAGTTCAAACCATTATCCTTGTGTCTTGTGCAATAGTCAAATTTGAATGCATATGGACTGATATTATTTTATTGTGAATAAAATATGCAGTCATATAAGTTAAACTACTGAGATAGTTCGTAACTTGAATTTGAAAATTTATATAAGATAGGACGGCAATCTATAATAGGTTATTAGATTATACAGTTATTTTAATTGTTATTAGTTTATGAGATATAAATTAATAATAATATTCTGGCATGAATTATTTTATGTGATATATAAGATAAACATGTCAAAAGTATGTTGAATTTCGTTTTTATGTCACATACTTGTTCGTTATATGATTTTGAATTATTATTACATGTGATGTAAATTAATTTAGGACAAAGCATGTAGACAACTTGAACAAAATTCACCACGATTTATCTTTTTCAGAAGCACTCACTGGAGGTTTGACCTCCTCCACAATATGTTGCATAATATCCTCCGGTAAATAGTCCTTTAATTTGGTCAAGTTTCACTCATTTTCCTCGGCAAATTCATGAACATATTGTAGTTCTTTGTTGCCCCAAAAATCTGATGGTGTGACATCAGAGGCCCCTAACCTGTCCAATTATCCTGCCAAAAATTAGAAGACCCTTCCTTTACTTGCCCCCAAATTTGGTAGTCCATAAGCTCCCTACATTGTAACATTTTATGCGACACATGCGATCCATATTTCTATTGCACCATCGCTGGGCCATGTATCTTGCAGTATTTAACCACCATAAGTTCTTTCCAGAGTGAGTCTTTTGTGTCCTTTACTCTAAAGTTCCACCACAGTTTACAAAATAAGGCATTGGACACATCAAATATAGACCGAAATCCCACACCTCCTTCCTTTTTGGTAAACATAAGTTTATCCATGCTGCCCAATGTCTACCCTTTCCCTCTCTGGAATTAGTCTAGAAGAACCTCGTAAACATATGATGTATCTGAGCAGTCACATAATCTGGCAGATTTACGGCAGACAACAAAAGAATAGGGATATGCTTTGCAACACATGTTTGATCAAGATTGCCCTTCCTCTTATTGAAAGTGATTTTCCTTTCCATGATTGCAGCTTATCACTCACCTTGGTGATTAATCCATTTTCTTTTGACTACTGAAAATTGGGCATCCAAAGTAATTAAAAGGAAAAGCCTTTCGGCAAGTACCTGTATGAATCTCCACCGTGATGGCCATGTCCATAGGAGCAGATTCATGCAAATAAATGATTGCATTTGTGCTGCATGCGTTAAACACTAATTTTGAATAGGTTCAGATGTTTGAATACCATAATGAAATATTCGACCAACAAATATATTTTGAATTTGAAAAAGAGTAAAAAAAAAATATTCGAATTTCTTATTTTTTATTTCTCGAACCGAGAGTTCCATGAATTGGAATCCTAATATATATTGATATAAATGGTCCAACATGAGCAAGAATTTTTATGAACATTTGGAACAGTGTGTTTATGAGTATAAGAGTTATTTTTAAATAGTGTTCGACCAATTACGTATTAATTGTGGGGAATAAACCCCTCATAGAAAATAATATTTATGATAATAATAACATAGTAGCAAAATACGGTAATCAACAAGAATAAAAAAAACAACAAGAACACAAAGATCTGAATGTGATATCAAAACCAAGTCTGACCAAAACGTGTTTTGGTTATTTGACATTTTTTTTATTTTTTTCTTTTCTTTTAACGGGTATGGACCCATCATTAATCAGTACATAAAATTTCGTGAAGATAAGGGGTTCGGCAAACATTCCTATGCAAACTATAAGTGTCTATTTGACCTAACTAAAATGAACTAGCTGCCAGATTAAAACACTCGTGTTGACTATTGATTCTACAAGTTTGCTGGAAATTTCTATTAAATTTTAAAGCTTGTAAGTATTATTTGGTTATCTTTAATATAAAACAAATGGGAGCACATTTATTAGGGCATTAAAGATGTTAGAGATAAAAATAATAAATACTCTTATTCTTTATTGAAAAAGGTTATATATATACCCAAAAAACTTTCTTGAACAATATAATCTTGCAGCAAAGAAATTACTCAATGGCGAAGATTGAAGGATTTGCAAAGAGATGGTCTCTTACTGGTTTGACTGCTCTTGTCACTGGTGGCACTTCTGGAATTGGGTGAGTTATGTTTTAAATTTTCTTCTACTGTAGTGTTTGGTATTGATGGAAGTCATTTTTCAAGAAAACATTATTTTATAAAGTCATTTTTTGATGTTTAATTGCCAGATTTTTCATTTAAAAGAAGAACTGGCAAATGACTTACCTCACTTATGCAAAGAAAGTCTTAACTTCTTATTAGTTGTTCCAACTAACACTAATTAGACAATATCATTAATAAAGGAGATTTATGAATGCCCCAGTAAGGAGGTGTGAGAGATTAACAATTGTGAGTATGAGGAGAGGTAGAGCTAGGCCCAAAAAGTATTGGAAAGAGGCGATTAGGTAGAACATGACATACCTTCAGCTTACCGAGGACATGACCTTTAATAGGAGAGTGTGGAGGTTGAGAATTAGGGTAGAAGGTTAGTAAGCAGTCGAACGCCTTTTCTTTCATACCAATAATGCTATTATTATTCTGTATTTCCATATTCTTTGATTTCTATTACAACCTGATGTTGTTTATAATTCGGTTTTATTATTATCTTGTTGTTGCTACTACTTCTCTTTTATGAATTCTATACTACTACGTGTCTTCCTCTATACTATTGTGATTATACATGTTAGCTATTAGCCGATAATCTATTGGAATAACCTCTCTACCTTCTTAAAGGTTGGGATAAAGTTGTGTACTCACTACCTTGTCCTAACCCCACTTGTTGGATTTGTTGTTATTGTTGTATATATATGTACTTTAAAAAAAAATTCACTCACCAATCAAACATCGAAAAATATATGCCGACTGTGTTATTCTTTAGGCGTGCAATTGTAGAGGAGCTTGCGCAACTAGGTGCAACTGTTTACACATGTTCGAAGACAGAATCAGAGCTAAATGAACCAATGCAAGACTGGGCAGATAAAGGCTTTCAAGTAAAAGGTTCAGCATGTGATGTAACTTGTAGAGAGCAAAGGGTTGAGCTCATGGAAAAGGTTTCCTCTACATTCAACGGAAAACTCAACATTCTTGTGAGAACTATATCCTATTAATTAATTGTTGGTTAAATTATTACTATAAATTTTTAATTTTGACCAAACAGCCCTTTGCTCATCCTCTTGTTGTAGATTAATAATGTTGGAACAAACATTCAGAAGGCCACTCTAGAATATACTGCCGAAGATTATGCACACATATTTGCTACAAATTATGAATCTTCATTCCATCTCTGTCAAATTGCTCATCCTCTTTTGAAAGCATCTGGAGCTGGAATTATTGTTTTCAATTCCTCTGCTTCTAGTCTTGTGCACGTGTCCGGTACTTCTATTTATGGACCAACAAAAGGTGATATATACTCATATCTATCATGTAAAACACTAAACAAATCAGTGTCGTACTAAAAAATGACTTTGTTTCTTCTTATTAACTGATTGCAGCGGCAATGAATCAGCTTACACGACATTTGGCTTGTGAATGGGCTAAAGATGGTATTCGGGTTAATGGCGTTGTGCCCTGGTTCATAAATACACCACTCGTGGAATATGTAATATTCTTTCGTCTTGCTTCAACGCTCCTTCATTTTACTATGGATTTGACTTATATACATCGATCACTGTATAATTTTCTTATGCATTTTCCATGTATTTTAACCAATCGTGACAAGTTATTAACTTCCTTTTCTACTTTGTTAAATTAAGAGAATATTTTGATAAGCTTAAAATTAAAACTAGTCGAACCAATTTCTAAGATTACTATGGACAGTTTCCTGTTATTATAAGGCTATCATGAACTGATGGTGCAAAAACTTGTATATTGTCTCCGTAAGAAGTTTTAAACTTATAGCCGTTACCAAAGTAATGAAACGTTTACACCATCTCTCCAATTTAACCCGTTATAGAAGGGGATTCTTGGAGCGACGATAAAGTTGTGTCCATTTGATAGGTCGCAAGTTCAAGCAGTGGAATCAGCCATTGATGCTTGCATCAGGGTAGATTGCCTACATCATACCCCTTTAGGGTGTAGACTTTTCCAGACCCTACGTGAATGCAAGATACTTTTTGCACCGGGCTACTTTTTTTGTAAAAGATTAGTTGACTTATTTTGAACATTACTAATTCAAAAAGTTATTCGTGTAATTACCTTTCAAGTGACCTAATAGTAATATTTTTCAAACTGTCGGGGTATAAAAGTTAAATAATAAAATGCATGATAACCTGATTTTGAGTCAATGATGAATTTGATGGATTTATTAACAGTTGGTCAAGGATAAAACATTTTTAGACGGATTAATATCAAGAACTCCTCTTAAGCGACCAGGAGAAGTTGAAGAAGTTTCATCTCTGGTGGCTTATCTTTGTCTTCCTGCTGCTTCCTACATCACTGGACAGGTTATAGTTGTTGACGGAGGTTTCACGGTCGGTGGGTTCCAATTCTAACGGCCAGAATTTTAATTAGTTCTTGTTTAAAAAACTAATGGTGGCAGAGTTTCTACCTTAGTACCTTTGTAATAATGTTGTATTTGCTCATGTTCAGTGTTTAATTTTCTCAAGTGTGTTAATTCCAGTTGAAAGCATTATGAATAAAAGTTGTGATCATGTCAATCTGTTAAATATTTCCTCTGCTTCATTTTGTGCGACAGTGTTTATTAGGCAAGAATCTTCTTCCAAACTCTGGGTGGTCCATCAAATCCTCTAGCCTAGGGTAGTTAAAATAAAGACAGAATTCTCTCCTCTTTTTATTTGCCTTTTTTCTAAGAGAGATGTCGTCCTTCTGTTCCTGATGAACTGAGTCCGCCATCTATTTCATGCTAATCACGAAAAGCAAGCTCTATGTGTCTGATTGTGTCACCAACATGCACCACGAGTTCTTTACTTTTTGAAGGGGTGGAGGCTTTTGTGCATTATAGCACAGGCCGTGACTACCATTTTACCTTGATTGATGTTGTATATCGCCCGCTTGTTCTATAGAAAATGTCACGCCCTGAACCTGGGCCTGGACGAATATGGCACCCGGTGCCTGATTACTGTAACCGAGCAAACCAACTGTCTGGCTGAATCAACATGTGATATCACAACATACTGAAAGCGGAAGATAAACTAACACATGTTGATACACTGAAAGTCCGAATGTTATAAATCAAAGTGTGGAAATACTGACATAGGTTTGAAACATATATGTGGTCAACATTTCTTAACATGAAAAGCAAACGACTGTGTCTAACTGTTACTCTAGTCTATGAAGCCTCTAATGAAGTACTGAAAATATTGACTATCTATAAATATATTAAGACTATAAAGTAATGGTAATGCCCCAAAAGAACTGGGGCTCACCAAATAACTGGTACGAGGATCCTAGTGCTCTGAATCGTCAACCAGTAAATCATTACCTTCATGGTGAGATGTAGGCCTCGAGCAAAAGGGACGTTAGTACATTTGAATTGCATTGATATGTAAAATGTCACGACCTAAAACTAGCATGTTGTGATGGCACCTATCGTAGAACTAGGTAAGCCGACTCTTTACAAAAAAAAACACGATTATTCATTTGGAAGATAATTTCAAGCTGATTAATAATAAAACCTCATAAAGAAAATCTGAACAATGAAAGTGCGGAAAGAAAAGCCTGACATCGGGCTGTCACTCGTCATGAGCATCTAGTAAACACTGTTCGAGATGCTGAGACTAACATAGTCTGGAACTGCAACTACAAAATAAACTATAGGAAGATAGGAGGGAGAAGAACAGGGCTGCGATCACCAGCAGCTACCTTGCCAACTCCGAGAAGAATCTACAACTGGACTAGTCAACAGCCGCTATCCGGTCCTGATGTGCATGGATATGAACACAAGGTGCAGGGAGTAACGTGAGTACGCCAACTCAGTAAGTAACCAATGTAAATAAAGGCTGAGAAGCTGTGACGAGCAAATAAACATATAGTTCATATCATGAAATCTCAGTAAAAGTACAACAGGCTTTTAAAAGCAGAGTTTGAATTAAAACATGTTGTTTAAACTCAATTTCAGTAAAATCATTTGAAAATATTTTCAACAGTTCTCAACAGAGGCTCGGTGCAACAGTGAGCAAAAATAAAGAAATCATAAACAGCCCCTCGGGCAAAACATCATTCATGAACAGCCCCTCGGGCAAACCTCTTAGTCACTCGTATACAGCCCTGGGGCATATCTTATATCACTCACACTCAGGGTACCCGCGCTCACTGGGGGTGTGCAAACTCCGGAGGGGCTCCTTCAGTCCAAGCGCTATAACAAGCCACATCGTGGCATAAAACAATCAGGCCCTCAGCCTTACTCAATCATGTATCAGTAACAACATGTTGCCGCATGCAACCCGATCCCATAAATATCCTCACAAATCAGGCCCTTGTCCTCACTCAGCCATAAACTCTCAAGCCACTTGGGCTCTCAGTAAAAACAGGGTACTCGGCCCAAAACAACATTTTATATGCATCAAAACAGAGTAATAAAGATTGAGTTATAAAATCAATTAGTGTAACAAGCTGAGTATAGATTTTCAACCAAAAACAGTAAGAGGATAGTAAGCAAAGGCCCCTAAGGGTCCAAACAGCTCAGGCGCAAGGCTCAAATATGGAATTCAGCCCAATTTACAGAAACTCTTTCTAAAACACATAATTAACATATAGTTTCAACCAAATACGCAACTTTATAGTTGCTACGGGATGGATCAAGTCACAATCCCCAATGGTGCAAACGCCCACACGCCAGTCACCTAGCATGCGCGCCACCTCAAAATAGTAAAACGATACGAAATCCGGGGTTTCATACCCTCAGGAATAGATTTACAATCGTTACTTACCTCAAACCGGTCAAATCTACTCCGCGATGCTCTTACCCATCGACTCGACCTTCAATCATTCCGAATCTATTCACAACCAGAACAATACCATCAATATACGCTAATGGAATAAATTCCATAAGAAAAACTAGCAAATTAGACCCAAATCCCAAAATCTTCTCAAACCCGGTCCCTGGGCCTACGTCTCGGAATCTGACAAAAGTCACAAAACTAGAAAGCCCTTTCACTCACGAGTCCATACATACAAGATTTATCAAAATCTGACTCCATTTGACCCCTCAATTCCTCAATCAAACTCTCCAAAAATCCCAAGCCCTAACCCCTCATTTTCACCCTTAATCTCCACTATTTACATGATTAAACAACGGGAAATTACCATAAACACAAGTTTTAGGGCTCAAATAACTTACCTCAACGAAGACACCCTTGAATCGCTCTTCAGTTCACTCCCAAAAGCTCCAAACCGAACAAAAATGGTGAAGAATAACCCAAAATTTGCGAAGGGTTCAATTTGTATCTTCTGCCCAGGCTTTTCCGCATATGCGGTCAAATAGCGCACCTGCGGTGCCGCTTCTGCACCCAAATGTCCGCATCTGCGGAAGTCACTTAAAGTCCACAAACCGCACCTGCGCCCCAGGTGTTGCACTTGCGGACCCGTAGATGAGTCTAATTCACCGCATCTGCGGCTCCTCTCTAGCCCTCTAATTCCGCATCTGCGGTTTCCCCACCGCACCTGCGACCTCACACCTGCGGTCCCTACTCCACAGGTGCGGTTATCACAGAATATAGCAGCTTCAGCTGCATTTTCCAAGTTTCAAATCCTTCGCTAACCCTCTGAAATCATCCCGAGCCCTTTCGAAACTAAACCAAACATGCCAACACATCCCATAACATCATTCAAACTTAGTCGAACCTTCGAATCGCTCAAAACAATATCAAACACCAAATCACCCTCGAATTCAAGCTTAACAATTTCCAAACTTCCAAATTCCACAACTGATGCCGAAACCTACTAAATCACCTCCGAATGACCTGAAATTTTGCACACACGTCAAAAATGACACTACGAACCTACTCCAAATTCCAGAATCCCATTCAGACCATGATATCAAAATTTCCACTGCCGACCGAAATCGCCAAATTTCCAATTTCGCCAATTCAAGCATAATTCTACCACGGACCTCCAAATAACATTCCGGACGCGCTCCCAAGTCCAAAATAACCTAACGGAGCTAACAGAACCATCCCAATTCACATCCGAGATTTCTTACACATGAGTCAACATCCGATTGACTTTCCAACTTAAACTTTTAAATAGGAGACTAGTGTCTCGTTCCACACTGAAACCACTCCAGACCCGAACCAACCAACACGATACGAGGAAATACAGCTGAGGAACACATAAGGAAGCAGAAATGGGGGAAACGGGGCTAGAATTCATGAAACGACCGGCTGGGTCGTTACATCCTCCCCCTCTTAAGCGAACGTTCGTCCTCGAACGAGTCTAAAAACATACCTCAAGCATCAAATAGGTGTGGATATCTGCTTTGCATCTCTCGCTCGGTCTCCCACGTAGCCTCCTCCACGGGCCGACCTCTCCATTGCACTTTCACTGAAGCTATATCCTTTGATTTCAACTTTCGGACTTGCAGCTCAAAAATAGCCACTAGCTCCACATCATAAGTCAAATCACCGTCTAACTGAACCGTGTTGAAATCCAAGAAATGGGACGGATCGCCGATATACTTCCGGAGCATAAAAATATGAAATACCGGATGCACGCCCAACAAGCTAGGTGGCAAAGCAAGCTCATAAGCCACCTCCCCAATCCTCCGAATCACCTAAAAAGGCCCAATGAACCGAGGGCTCAAATTGCCCTTCTTCCCAAATATCATAACACCCTTCATGGGTGAAACCTTCAGTAGAACCTTCTCCCCAACCATATAAGACACACCATGAACCTTTCTGTCAGCATAACACTTTTGTCTTGACTGAGCTGTGCGAAGCCGCTCCTGATCACTTTCACCTTGTCCAAAGCATCATGTACCAAGTCTGTACCCAAAAGCCTAGCCTCGCCCGGCTCAAACCAACCTACTAGAGATCTACACCGTCTCCCATATAAAGACTCATATGGAGCCATCTGAATACTCGACTGATAATTGTTGTTATATGCAAACTCCGTGAGTGGTAGAAACTTGTCCTATGAACCCCCAAAATCAATGACACAAGCACGTAACATGTCCTCCAATATCTGAATAGTGCGTTCGGACTGGCCGTCCGTCTGAGGGTGAAAAGCTGTCTCAACTCAACCTGGGTAACCAACTCTCGCTGCACGGCCCTCCAAAACTGCGATGTAAACTGAGTACCTCAATCTAAAATTATGGAAACCGGGATACCATGCAGGCGAACAATCTTTCGGATATAAATCTCATCTAACTGCTCTGAAGAATAGGTAGTACACACAAGAATGAAGTGCGCGGACTTGGTCAGCCGATCCACAATCACCCAAATAGCATCGAATTTCCTCAAAGTCCGTGGGAGTCCAACTACGAAATCCATGGTGATCCGCTCCCACTTCTACTCTTGAATCTATATCTACCGCATAACCCCGAGGGTCTTGTGCATCTCATCAATAAAATCCTGGGGTCTTCCTCGGGATTGGTGCCCGTAAACACTAGAGGGTCTAGCTGAAGAAATCTGTTTACCTTAGAATTGGTGGAATCCCCTTGCTGGCTAGATGAACTGGGCGCAACATTTGACCTCTGGCCTGAGAGGCCAC